CTTGGTAACTTTAAGACTTGTGGACTTCAACTCCCAGAATTCTCCAGCCAGCAGAGCAGAGCTGGCTGGAGAATTCTGGGAGTTGAAGTCCACAAGTCTTAAAGTTACCAAGTTTGGGAACCACTGTATTAGATGAATCAAGGAAGTTGGGTTATAAAACCCTTTTTTTCAATTTGGTTTTCAACTAAATTGAATTCAACAATCCATTTTGGCCAGACACTATATATCCATTTGGGTTTTAAACGGAGTGCTGTTTAATGCAGCACACATCCCGCTTGTACCATTCCTGGATAGCTCTACATCTTCGCAAATATCTATTATTGCCCCCGTTAGGCAACACAGTCAATGATCCTGCTGTCACACTGAGGATTTGAGGGATGCAAATTCTCAATGGCATGACTTCCGTCTCATCAAATATTTTTTGGCTATCTCCATCTCTGTAGCTGGTAAATTGCTGTAATGCCACAATAGTTTCATATTAATCTTCTAAGATTGAACAGAAAGGTGATTTTGATGCGTACCCTCACATGGTGTTTTTTTTTTCATTTCAAATTTGCCACATAAAACTTCAAAATGAGGAGGGGTAGTAAGAATAGGAGAGAGGGTAAGAAGGAGGAGAAGAGTGGAGAAGTGAGGGAGAGGGAGGGGAAAAAGAAAAGAGGAAGGAGAGGATGGAAGAAGAAGGCAGAGAAGGGAGGATGGGAAGAAAGAAGGAGTAGGGTTGTTGCAAAATAAGATTCATATACAGGGTGGCAAGAAAATTACCCCCAATTGTGCTTCTTATATTCTTAAACTGACTGTGATAAATGCTAGAAGTCAACAGATAAATGTTAGTAGTACTTATAAGAATGTATATTTGTGAATGTATATGGAAAGAAAAAAAGAAAACTTTTTACAGAAGAAAAACTTCAAAATGAAGAAAGGATAAGAGCAGGGGACTGGCTGGGTATCTATTTATGCTCTTCATTATTGATCAGAGGCAATGCTGATTAGTTATAGAAAGATGCAGTCAAGCGTGAATTTTTCTGAAATTATTCTGAGGGTTTGCAAGTGAAGGATAGGTGTAGACATACTGAATAACCATGCCTATAAAAGTGTGACCTGACAAATGCGCGCTAGACAAATGCACGCCGACAAAACCGTGCCGACAAAACCATGATGTCAAAATCACGCCCACAAAAGCGCGCCGACAAAACCATGCCAACAAAACCGTGCCGACAAAAGCGCGATTATGGTTAGGGTTAGGGTTATAATGTTGTTTTCGCGTCCCACTATGTTGTTTGTTGATGGTGCGCTTTTGTCAGTGTGCATTTGTCGGCGCGCTTTTGTGGGCGTGCTTTTGACGTCGCGGTTTGGTGGTGCGGTTTTGTCGACACGCTTTTGTCTAGCGCGCATTTGTCGGTGAACCCTATAAAAGCCCATGAGTAGGTAGTCTATTATCCCAAAGCTAGAAACACAAGTCCCAGTGAAAAACTTTGTGATTCCTCTTAAGCCTTAGCAGACTACCCAAATTAATCCGAGACATTTGTCATTCAGAATAAAATCAGAAATTATCCTCTGACCTATAAGGGATTATTTAATTGTTCTCCAATATTAACAAATCCGAGCAAAATGGTAATCTTGATCTTCTAAACTACTTCTCAAAGTCAAAATGTTTCATTGTAAAGAATTGATGCAAGTATCTAACCTGATCTCCCCATTCATTGATTACAGGCATATTCACATCATCTATGAAAACCGTCATTTTCTTTCCTGCTGGAGGACCGTACGTTGTGCCCATGCGCTTGTCCACATAGCTTTCTATTGTGCGCTGCAAGAAACACATGAGTTTATAAATAACTTACTCGAAGCATCTTTTCATAATCGCTAACGGAAAGGTTGTGTGTCCTGCAAACTGTTTGCTTAGAGCTAAAGAACTTCCAGCGACCATAAGAAGAAATGCAATATACAGTTAAAAATCCTTAAGTCAGTAAGTCCTTCTGTATCAAGACTCCAATAAAAAATAAAATATTTTTGGCCAATTCAGATATTAAAAGTCATTCCTGTTTCAAAGGGTTGAACAGAACAATCCCATATTCCAAAAGTGAGGGGAACGAGCCATTAGCTGCTCTGAAAGAAGGAAAGAGGTTTAAGGTTTAAGGTTTATTAGCATTTGTATGCCGCCCACTCTTGAGAGACTCTGGGCGGCTCACAGATAAAACAGGGGACATATATAAAAAGTTAAAATAAAAACAAACATTAAAATTACACAGCATGCATACAACTTAGAGTGGGGCTGGATAAATCAACAGCCCCAGGCCTGCCGGAACAGCCAGGTCTTAAGAGCTTTACGGAAGGCCGGAAGAGTAGTAAGGGTCCGGATCTCTACGGGGAGATCATTCCATAGGGCCAGAGCAGCTACAGAGAAGGCCCTCCCCCGAGGAGTCGCCAGCTGGCATTGACCGGTCAACAGCACTCGGAGAAGGCCCATCCTGTGAGATCTTATCGGCCGTTGGGAGGTATGTGGCAGGAGACGGTCTCGCAGGTATCCGGGTCCTAGGCCATGTAGGGCTTTAAAGGTGATAACCAGCACCTTGAAGCGCATTCGGAGACGGATAGGGAGCCACCCATCTTGCCAAGGTTGAGAAACGCTGCTTTAGGGCGCTGGCAGCGCCTG